GTGAAGCAGAAGATAAACCGGTGCAAGGATGAATAACAAGACAAGTAACTGAGTACAACGTATAAAACAATGGACAAAGAAGTGAAGAAGAGTGCGCGCAAACACAACAGATACTTCCACAACACACTTGCAAGAGTAGCAGAATAGGCTGCAGATAGGAGAGACAGAGACCTGACAACATTGTATCAAATAACCAGGTTACTATCCGGTGGGGAAGAGATCAACACAGATGAAACCAGTGAAAGATGATGACGGAAATCTAATTACCAAAGAAGAGAAACGAAGTAGACGATGTGCTGATCACTTCAGAAAGCTCTTGAATCGACCACCACCACCACCGCCACCTGCACTTCGTCCAGAAATACCATCAGCACCCTAGCCACAGAACTACCAGTGAACACAAGTCCTCCGACGAAAGTCGAAGTCTTGAACGCCATAAAACTACTGAAAAGCGGGAAAGCAGAAGGACTAAATGGAACCCCACCAGAAGCACTTAGAGCAAACGCAGGGACGACAACGGACATGCTCAAACCATTATTGCAGAAGGTCTCAAAGGAAGAGAAGGTGCCTGGCCACTGATTGGAATAAGGGCTACCTTGTCAAACTCCCGAAGAAGGGTCACCTAAGCCTTTGCAGGAACTGGATAATGCAACAAACAGTGAGGAGCGAGAAGAGGATTTTGCCCATTACTTATGTCTGATTTCACACAAACTTGAAGATGTACAGGCGAGAACTAACAGGTTGATAGAAGAGGCAGGGCAGCGAAGACGGGACATGCTTCAAGTGAATCTAGAGAAGACAGAGGTGATGAAGATACCCAACCAACACCACCACCACCACCAACAACAAGAAGCTCTAATCACCATCGACGGGAAAAACTTAAAGGGAGTAGCCTCGTTTACCCATCTAGGTAGCACTGTTTAAACTATAGGCGGCACAGACGAGGGCGTCAGAGCCAGCCAGTATCGGAAAAGCAAGACAGGCCTTCATGCATTAACCTGAAACCAGTGTCTAGATCTTCTGCACTCACCACAGAGTGTGAACAACTTCTTGATTTTCAATACCAACGTCAAGTCAGTGCTTCTGTGTGATGCGTGAGAGACTTGGTGTGTTACGAAAGGCATTTCCAACAAACTACAGACATTCATCAACAACTACCACCTATGCTCACTCGATACTGGAGATCAGATCAGAAGGCCAGAATAATAAGAATAAGCAACAAGGAACTCTGACTGGCGACGAACCAACCAAGAACCTACCACCCAACAAAATACACTGGAAGGAACTGGAGATGGATTTGGCATACACTGAGAAGGCTGAATGGGGATATCACGTGCCAATCCAGACTCTCAAGTGGAACCCAGATGGGAAGCAATGAGTTGGGCGTCCAAGGGTGACATAGAGGAGATCGTGCGAGGAGGAAACGAGAGCTCGTGGGCTGTCGTGGAGCCAGGTTCAAAAGTTTGCAGAGAACAAAGTAGAGTAGAGACGTGCTACTGAAGCCCTATGTTCCATTAGGAACCTAGGGGAGAAAAGATATATAAATAATAATGCGGCTTAACAAAAGTATTCCGTCTTATTTCTAAATTTCAGTTAAGATCACTTTCCCATTTTATTTGATTTGTCAAGTGTATCACACACTTTATTACGTTTCGGATACAATTTGTTGTCTGTAGTTACATCAAGGTGTCATGACTATGGAGAATAAATCGTATCCGAAAAAGAATTCAGTAAATAATACTATTTCAGCGTGTGATACATTTGAAAAATCAACTGAAATGGAATCATATTCTACCACGATCCCCAAGTTTTACTCGTGTTCAATTCCCCATGTAAGCAAACAGTTTGTAAAAATCTTTCAACCTTTAATTTCACTGCTCATGTATCCAGGCATTGGTTCTCATAATATTAAGTAACTCCCAAGTTCGAATTAATTAACGAATCGGATTTGTTCGAAGTTTTATCTTAAGAGTATAACAAATTCTTTTGAAAATATGAATGTACCTGTTTTTCTGTATGAATGACTTCTATGTGGTCGTTCGCCATCTTGATCAGGAGACTAGCTGGGGTTTGTTCATAAATATACTTGCCGAGCAAATGAAGACAAGAAATTGGCTTTAGGTGAATGAATCACTGTTTCTTAGCACTGCTCATAAGAGGCTGTAACAAGATGACTGACATGATTAAGCGCTGGAAATTCATTTCATCCTTACATAATTAACACGTTGATTCAAGTGTAGTTCACATATATGAGTGGCGAGTTTACTCAGTTCTGATCTATATAGATTTCTCCTTACTTTCATCTAAGCTGTATGCTACAGTAAATCAAAAAATATTCATTTTTACTTGCTTGGTGAAATGAAACTGTAGTTTATTTTTGAAGTAATCAAATCAAATTTAGGGACTTCCTAGTTTATAGAGACTTTTATCATTAATAAAGTGGCGTCTCTTTCGCTTAGTTGTATTGTCATAGTATAATTAAAAAGTAATGGTTTGTTTTCTTAGACTGTGATATGTGAATCAAGCCATGGGGTGTTGGGTGTGTTGATCAGACTTGAGAAAGGCAATCAAATGCACAGATACTCAGTTCATTTCAGGGAGAACCAGATTAAATCGGAGTCTCTTTTGGTGAATCTCAGCAGTCTTTAAGATGACTGATAGAATCATTTCATTGGGTTGCAAAGACTTCTATCATAACCTTACATATTCCAGTGAACTCTAGGATAATGTTCATCGTGCCATGGTATTGAAGGCTATGAGTGAGCTAGGTTTTACACGTTATGGAGATGGTTAAATAAATAGAAATGACTAGTGCCTTGTTCGAAGACAAAGGCCAAAGTTAGAAAAAGTATAAAACCAGACTGTAATTAAGTATATAGCCAGTGGTTTGGACTTAAATATTCTTCTCTTTGAGGCAATTTGAAAAAATTCCCAGACACGTCAAACTGTTACTTAGTGAAATTGTTTGCTTTAATACCAATACACTTTTACATAGTTGTTGCTTTCTCTCTCCAGGACATAGAACAATCGTGTTGAAATTATGATAATTTTTCTCTGCAGCTCTAAAGCAAAACTCAGTCTTCAAATTTTGATATGAAAACATCTTAAGCATCCAAGTTAAATATGAGTATTGAAGTTGGATGAAACCAGCAGATGTTTTCACCCTTCACTGTCATTGTTTAGCTGGACATTTTTGACACACAAGTACATTGATACATATTATCGAGCTGCTAGATATACTTGAGAGGGAAAAATAGTGCTTCATGTACTTTGGTAAACAACGGTGATAAGGAAAATCTAGATCACTATGTTGCGATACTGGAGCTCTAATGACTAAACTAAGGGACTTAATAATAATGATGATAATCACTTTATTCCATAAAACTTTGACAGGACTACAAGGAATGATACAAAAATAATTTTTCATCCAGTGCTTAATTTTCTAGATGCACATCTTTCTTAATGTAAGACAGTAATAATAAATAGAACAAGACATCATTTACGACCTCGTGATTAGTTCATGTATATGATAGTGAATTTCTTAGGTTACTTTTGTTCTACTGGTTAAAGGTTGGAACTGCATTTGACCTCAGTCATATTACCATAATTATTGTTGGTCATATGCTTACGTGGTCAAATGAACTTATTTCTACTTTTCTATCAATTATAGCATTTTTCACGGGGTGAGAAACCTCTCATGGGGTTATAAGTGCAAGGTAATAGAATTGCTTTGATGAAATTATAATGAGACGTGTTTAGTTGTTTAATCTACTGCTAGATAAAAGATAATAAGATTGAATATCCAAAAAAAGCAATTGAAAATGACACTGAGAATAAAGCCTACATAAATTAATGAGAAAATCATTTGCAATGCAAAACTGGGCAAGGAATTCTCGGCCATTTTTATAAATAACTAAAGAAACAGTTTGGAAATATTGAGGAAGATTTTCAACTGTTTAGTGTAGCCAGGATAACACACAAATAAAATTCGTACACTGAGAACTTCCGTTTTTGTACCTTTTCCTTTCATCTTATGACTTCGAATTGATTTATGCAGAATCGATGTATTAAATACACATTTCTCAAGGTATTTTTCCTGAAACAGACTGATGAAGGCCGAATTAGTGAGCAGCAACCATATGTAATGCATCACTAGACAAAATAAGTCACCCATTTATTGCTCAAGAATACTAATCACTGAACTTCAACCCAGTGACTCAGTGTCTCAATGTGGCTTATGAACATTCATTGCCCGAATGTTTCAGTCGTAACGTCACTGATCGCAACACTGGATGATATGGTTTTGAATCCCAAGGGGGAGATAAGTTCTTTAAGGGTTGCGGATACACCCTGCTGACGAGTGCCAACGGGTAAGAAACCTAGGTCCACAGCCTCTTGCCTGTCACATCCAACCAGCTGTAATATAGTCCAATGAGCATAGAAAAGGGATAAACAATATAAAAGATATGGCTCATGCTTATAAATGCATCAGGTAGACAAAATATACTGGGTGATGATTGAAGGTGAAATGAAAATTTGGACCGCTACTGGATTCTAACCAGCGACCACCAGGTTTCCATGCCGGTGCTCTACCAACTGAGCTACGAGATCCGACTGCTGACCGGATTTCTGGTTAACTTCAGTCACCCAGACTAAATACAGTCTCCAGAGCAAGGGATGTGGTAAAACCTTCTGTTTAAGCATGTCCAGTTATCACATTACTCATTTATTTCTTTTCAAGTTACATTTAATAAAGTGATGTTGAAATTTGTTGAATATTTTGAAGTCACATATGGCATTCATAACCAGATTATCATAGCTTCAGCAGATTTAGCTATTGCTACGACTGCTAAACAAGTTGCTATAAAAAATTCATTTGGTAGCCTTAAGTTAATAATTTTGTCTTAAACTCTTTCTCTTAATAGTAAATTTCTACCGACAAAAACAGAGAACCTAATCGTTTCTATATTACAACTCTAGAAAAGGATAGTAAAAATACAATGATGTATAAATACCAAGTTGCAGAAAATTCTTATCTGATCATTTCAATTGTAATATTTTGTACATTTTTATCACCAACATATGAAATTGGCTTTCGAAGCAGCAGTGATACAACCAATATGTTTTCAGAAATTGAAGGTGATGCACCGAATTCATCTATATGCCGACGTATGGTTAGTAATTTTACCGAACCAGAAATTCGCTGTTTAATTGCTAAACAATTCCCTGGATGTCAGTTTGATTCGGGATTTTTACAATATTTAGTATTTCAGTATTGTAATTTTAATGAACGTATAGTTCCAACAATTTTTATGGTAAGTTACAGTGAGTTATTGATATAAGGTATCTTCTTTCCATTTGGTTAGTTATTATGATTCATTCTATTTTAGGTTTCTTCAGCAATGACGATTGTGATAGAAAGAAGTTTGTGTTCTGAAACCTTCTGAAGTTCAAGTGACTAGCGTTTGTGGTGGTGATGATGATGAAAATAAATAATTAAAAGTGTATGCGAATCGACTGACATCTTCAGGATTAGGATAGTTTCAAATAATCAACAGCCAGGGACGTCATACAAATTACCAGAGCGTGGGGGGGATTTGTGAGGCAGGTCGTTTTTACTACTTAATAATTTAAATAAGGCATTAAAAGGATATTGCAAGATGACATTGTTTCACAGTTTTTCTGCAATCGCATAACCCACATGATGTGCAATAATCAGTTAGTCACCAGCATTTTCTGGTTACATGGGGTGTCAAGATTTATTAGTCACCAATCATTACAATCACTCAAGTAGTCTAGGACAGATAAGTGGTCACGTGTGTTGTTTTCTGTTCACAGGATTTTAGGGATATGCTTGGTGTAAAGTGCCTTTTTCACCTCTAATAACTTTGAGATGTTGTGGGAAACAACCGAATAGCAGTCATTAACAATCAATAAATGGTTAGCAATAATTGATGGTAGGTTTCTGTTCATGTCAATTAAATCTGGTTCAATTTTGTGATACGTTAACCACTGGGAACATGTTTTTTTTGCAGTATTGTGTCATTGTTAGTTCTATTTACAGAGGTGTTCTCACATTTGCAGGTGAACGTTTAGATACAGTATAAGGCAGAAATGATGGGATTTCACTTTTCACTGATTGCCACTGACAAAGAAAATGTCTTTAAGGTTAAGTAAAACGAAGTGACCTACTTTGTACATTTGATAGTAGACCGAAGCCTATGAGCTCTAAAATGCGTAATCTGGTCACCTTTCCATGGTAGATTAATAAAAATAGCTTCCTTTCTTACATTAGGGATCTTCTCGGTAAGTTGTCGGCTTTTGTTGTGGCATAAAGTGAATTTTTTCTGGGAAACTGAATGGATTCAACGTTTTTCGTCAATCAGTGTAACAGTACTGGACATTTTATCAGGTCTTGAGAATAGACATTTGATCGAACGTTTATTTTGAATAGTAACAAGGCTACTGTTTGACGTCGAAATATTGACCTAAACTTTTCGTCATGTTGTCCAGTGATCAAGAAGTTCAGGAAACCCAATTTTTCATTTTCTTAAAATTCAGAAGTGATTGAGATATTAGAATGAATATGGCTGAATATGCAGGGAAATCATTACATAACTCACGGTTGTCACTTACGAGGAGTATAATCTACACAGCGTTGTACAGAAAGTAAAGTTCTGTAACGTAACTTCTATTCGTGTTTCTAATCTAGACATAAATAAACCAACTAACAACAGCTTAAGAAAGCTCACTGCAATTAATTAATCAATATGGATTTCAGACTTTTTTGTATAGTCTAGCCGTTTAACTTCCGTTTTTGGTGTACCTGAGTTAGAAAGTATTTGAGTGAATGTTTTTTTAATAGTCAGCTCCTGCTATTCTTGAGATCATCATCGATTACTCATCAGTGATTATTCCTTACAGTTGGCAGAAAATCGGTATGGAAAGCAACACAGGACAGAAAAATATGTACGGAAAACGGAATCTTGAAACTGGTATAAATGTCATTCATGTACAATCATTCCACCGTTTACGCTTCATTGTTTTCAAGAAATTTCGTGTCGTTTTTATGAGGCTCATTTACAGGTTTATGCTATTTTTGCTTTAATATTTGGTCATTTATTTTCATCGCTGACTGTGAGGCTCCACACTTTCAATCCACCATTATAAATTTAAGTTGATTCAGAGGAATTATAAACTTTCGCTGTGAAGCCGTTTAGAATTCCTCCAGCATATTGCAAGGTGCTTTCTTTTGAAGGCAGCCTACATCATGAAATATGACCTAATGGGGCAATAAAAGCATAGGACAGTAAGTATTCTCTGCAAGACAGTAATATGACTTGTTCGGATTGAATATTTTTAACATTCTCATTAGTAACGGAACTTAGGACATTTTAACTTGCAAACCATCTGTTGTAAAGTTACCTGAATGCGTCAGCATCATTTTCTATACCTATGTGTGTACTAACTTCGAAGTAAACTAGTGGCCAAATCGGCTAATTTAGTTCGAAACTTTCGTACAATTAAATTTTACGATCGACTGAACTGAAAGATGTAAACAGACCGGGCTGAAATCCCACTGACTGCACATAAATTAGCAATATCCAGACTTATTAAAAACAAGAACAATAGCAACAATAGCTCTTTATGAAAGGTCGTAATTATCTTAGAGCCTAGTTTGCTTCCAAATAAATATCGGAATTTCAGGATTATCATTCGCTACTCAATAGCGTATAAGGATTGGACGGTGTGTATTTTTCATAACAACTTTGGAAGTATCTTACTTCTTTTTGTAGCTGTTATTATTGAATTAAGAAGACTTTTGACTGTAATCCAAATATATCAGCCATGGCATCTGTGAAGGTAGTGCTAGGTAGCGTAAGCATAGATCTTCGAAAGAGAGTCAACTTTTACAGGTTGCAAATATCTTTAGCTAAAGATTATCAATGGGACCGATAGCTACATATTGATCGCGTCAGATCATCCAGCATTCAACGAAGTGCTCAGAAGTGCAGTACTTCTTAGAGTGACGATCTTATTATGGACTTGATGAATGGGCATAAGTTAGCGCTTGTGAATAGACAACATAACATTTATTTTGGTGACTGATAAGGGTAATTAGTAAAATTCTACAACAGGTCAGTTATGACCCGAATAGCGCATCGGTAACGTGCTTAATTGCAGAGTTGAGCAACTGTATTTTTGATCTAAAAAAAAACACAAGTGGTACCAAACTAATGAGTGTGAATGACTACAAATCCGGAGTCAAGAACAGTTCTCTTCAAACACCTAGTGCATCACTGCTTCACTTACATCGATTGGACACTCGAAAGTGACCAGTTTCATATCACCTAGTTATATGCGCTGGCCGAATTTCTTCGACCATCTTTGTAATTTGGCCCCAAAGCTAGGATAATCTGTATCATGATGCGTTTTTCTTAATGCTGGATGACTGGAAGCAGTTGACATGAGGCCTCAGAACTAGGTTCTGGGCTTGTTGGCATTCATCAACGCGGTGTATTTGCAACCTCGGAAGAGCTAATATCTCCCAAGAGATTGAAACCTGCTTCATGCAGTGCTGCAGTCACAGACGTTGCCATAGGGCTATTCAGACCGCGGATGACTCTGGATAAATGAGTAGCTTACTGGTGACGTCCATGACAGCAGTACTGAGTCTAGAGAGTTTGAATCTCTCAGACGACTTTAGTTCTGTCAGGGTTGCGGATACAACTTGCTGATGAGTGATGAAAAGCACAAAACCTATGGTTTGGGCTGTCTACCGATTACTTATAATCGCCTAATATTACCTTATCTGTTCTTCTGACGGTTCTTCAACAAGATGAAGAAATGGTTGGAAACTACCAATGCATGTTACCATTTGAATTTAAAGGAATGCTTTGTAAATAATCAGACCTATGTCTACCATATTCGTGTTAGCTTATAAGCTATAAAAGATGCAATGTGTCCAAAGTGCTAATATTTTAAGGAGTAAATAAAGTTAAAAAGAATTCCTTTTGAAATTTAATAGGAAATCTATAGTGAGGTGATAAAAAGCATTCACAAAAATAAGATATGTTAAGAAATTCATTTCTGTAGAGAAAATATAATAAAATTCAGAACTAGGTTTATTCATGTATAGATTGCTTGTATCAGCATAGCGATGTTTACTTGCAGAAATATGAGAGAAGTTGCAAACGCTCACTGATAGGTTTGTAAGTTACCTGCATTTTACACTGTTGAACCGAATAACGTACATTTTATTCAGCAAAGTAAAGAAATGCATTAATTTATGTTACAGATTTCAAAGTAACCTTTAATTTGGACATTTAAGGGACACGTGTATATACGAATATACAATTGTATGCAGTTTGCATAATTTAAAAGTGCGAAGAGCATTCATGTAAATGTTTTAACAAAATGAATAGGCTTTTCTTTCTGACTGCAAGCTAAGTCAGAATAAACTTAAGAGAGCTTTTTGAGTAGTCAATATTGACAACTAAACAAATCAGAGGGCTGTAAAAAATTGTTTCGTCCTATTGCAGTAGGCATCAGAAACACTAAACCGATAGATTTTCATTTCAGAGTCCTGCAAAATGAAACAGTTATTACAGTCCTGAAAATTAACAACAGAAAATTTCATACTCTATTGAACGAAAAGTGTCTCTCGGGACCTAAGAATTTAGTGAGTGAATAACACTCCTAAGTTTCAAGCAGTGGGTGGTCGAGTCAGATCGTTACTGGGAAAAGTCAGATGATTTGATGTCAACTTATCCAACCGATAGGCACCAAGTGCAGGGAAAAGTGCATTCTGGACTTCACTGTTAACTATACAATGAATAATGTGATGATGAATTAGCGTGTTGAGATTATTTATCTCCTATTTAATGCAGGTCTCACAACTGCTAAAGAATTTGCTCAACATAACACATTTATGGTCAATTTAGCGTTTTATGTGATTGAAGGGAACGAGTACTCAGAATAAATTATGCTTACTGACTGACTGGTTTGTGTTAAGATATATCAGCCAGCTCTTATGGTCGTCCCCAGTGGTTTAAAGAAACGTGTGCGCTTTAAAAAATCTGTCAGTTCTAACTTGTACAGGGATCTTAGTAAAATTAAACTTGGATGTTCCTAATCGTGTCATTTATAATCAGTGATTAAGTGGAGAATCAGCAATCGGAGTCATCGCACTTGATTTAAGTTGGAGTTTGGTTACCTGTATAAGAAACATTGACTATTTCAATTTCGAATAACTAATAAGTACTTCGTACGTGTACACACTGCTTTTAAAACTCTCATTTACTATGTAATACTT